AATTTGTATTAAAATAGGCTTCATTTTAATGAGATCATCAACTTCTTGTTTCCAAGAAGGTCTTGTGATATTGCTCAGTCAAGAGTTCCTAAGATGGATGTGTTCAAGAGGAGGTGAGTAATATGCAATAAATAATAGAAAATTTATAAAACATTGGTTCAGTACAAGTGGAAAATTTTACCTAAGTTGTAGAACATGGGAAATTCTGTATTTGTGAATATGCAAGTATGAAACCCACAGAGTGTGCTGGATGCCTACTTCTTTACTTAATTTTTCCGTACTGTTTTTCTTTTCAATAGGTGTCCAAACAATACAGATACCTGGAATCTAACAGCTGTGTTAAAATTCCATATCACAAAACCCTCCAAGGATCCCGATCTCCAGCCCATCCTCTTTTTGATCTTCCTGTTCATGTACCTGGTTATGGTGCTTGGGAACCTGCTCATGATCCTGCCTGTCAGTTTAGAGTCTCAACTCCACACCCCTATGTACTTCTTCCTCTCCAACTTGTCTTTTACTGACATCTGTTTCATTTCCACCACGCTTCCAAAGATGACTGTGGACATCCTAACTCACAAGAGTGTCATCTCCTTTGTGGGCTGCCTGACACAAATGTCTCTGCTTATTCTTTTTGCATGTATGGATTACATGCTTCTGATCTTGACGGTTTATGACAGGTTTGTGGCCATCTACCAACCCCTCCAGTATTCCTTCATTATGAACTTTCCCCTCTGTGTTTTCTTAGTTTTCATATCTGTTTTATTTAGCCTTATAGACTCACAATTGCATAATCTAATTGTCTTAAAGTTCACTTATTTCTATGATGTTTCAATTTCCACCTTCTGCTGTGAACCTACTCAAATTCTTAAGCTGGATTGTACTGAAAACTTTACCAAAAACATGATCACTTATTTTTCTGGTGCCATAATTGGTTTTTGCCCATCTCAGTAATGTTATTCTCTTATTATAAAATCATTTCCTCCATTCTGAGAATCCCATCATCAAGTGGGAAGTATAAGGCTTTCTCCACCTGTGGGTCTCACCTGTCAGGTGTTTGTTTATTTTATAGAACAAGCATTGGGATGTACCTTGAATCTACTCTAGCACATTCTCCCAGAAAGAGCATGGTGTCTTCCATAATGTACACTATTGTGACTCCTAAGCTGAATCCCTTCATCTATAGCCTGAGGAATAAGGACATTTAAAATGCTCTAAGAAAGCTCTACAGTAGAAAATTCTAGAATCCGCATCTGAGGCAACCGAACAAAATTTACATGGAAAGAGGCATCAATTCTACACATCTAGTCCTGCAAAGTTTACCTTCTGAACATTTTTAGTAGTTTGATTACTTTAATTCCTCAGCGTATATCATAACCAGAATGGTAGAAGATATGTTCATGAGACTGGAAGAATGCAGTGTGATTAAAATGAATAAGCAATTTAAGTTTTAGAAAATAAGAATTTTTAGAGATGCATCATTTTGATGCACATAAATGAGGATGTAATTAATGATACTGAAGAAATGGTTAAATGCTGTTATATATATTCACCACAATAAACAATGGTAATAAAAGCTTTTGTTAAAAAATACAAATCATGTGAATAGTACACATAAACTTCCATTTGAATACATAAATATTACCAAAACCATGTAGACATTCTTTTTCTGATCTTTTCCTTCCTCAATTAATATTAAGAATTTCTTAACGACTCAGATGAATAAAATATTTTAGTTAACAATGACTGCTGGGCATTCGTCCTCCAAGGTAATATAATAGTAAGTAATTAACCTATGTCTCTAGTTCTCCCGTGGCTCCATACCACTGACTGTGCTTAGGATTTGCTGAGGAAGGCTTTTGATTGCCCAAGGAAACTCTTATTTGACATGGTATTCACTGAAATGCTAAGGACAGGGGCTGAGCCTTCATTGGACTCTTGGTGGAGTGAGACCCATTCATTCTTCATTTTCTTGTTCATGACACAGCCAAAATGCTGAGTAACCCAGTAAGTGCAAGTGAGACTAAGGATGGAGGAAAGACTGTCTGCTGCATTATTTCATCACCATGAAGACAAACATGACACCTCTAGTGGCCAAAGAGGACACCAATATGCAGGATTTTGGCTAAGAGTACCATGAAGTGTTGTTTCTTGGGGATTCCTATTGCAAACTTATCCTTCACAAAAATTATTTGCTGTCCTGGGACCCTGGATCTACTTCCCATCAACATCAACTAGAATGATCCCAGAAAATATGTTTCTCTAATTTGTTATTTTAGGACACCTAACATTTAATTAATGTGATTAAAGATATAAAATCAGCAAAATGATGACAGCAGGTACCAGTTTACAGAGCTTCCAACATGCCAGGCTTTGTTCTTCTCATCATGTACAGCTTGCTCCATTTCACCTTCACAGTCTCACATTGTTGTTGTTTTATAGATAAAGAAGGAACCTAGCATTTTTTTGTAATTTCTGTTATGCTTTAGTTAGAAGAGAATGACACTTTATAAAAATTAATCTGTTTGAGGAATGACATAGGACATTTTTACTGGAGAATCATAGCATAGACGTGCATTGTCAATGCAACCAGCCACTTCAAGTCCCTGTCACTGCAGGAAGCAACTTCTGGTTCACTGTGCTCTTCATGGTGGGAATTTGGGAAGCTGACGAGGAAGAATGGAGGATGGCACCTGTTGTGTCTATTATAGGAAGGATTTCTCTGGACTACAGGGAAAGATAAGAGAAACATGTACATGGTCATTTAGCACAAACCACTCTATGGTAATTCTTACATGATTATGGGTTAAGTAATTTCATCTCATGAAGGACA